CCCCCCCCCCCCCCGGAGTACTTACTCCCAGAAAATATCGCGGCCGTGCATTTACGATTCAAATCGCTATCAATAATTCCGTGTAATATCGGCAATCTTCGATTGACCTTAATACTTGCATTACTCGTAGCGCTCATCTCGTATGCACCCGACATGGAATAATATAGATCAGTTTTCGAACGAACGTAGGCACAAGAGCTGCGTTCTTTTAAATGATAAATTACATAGCTTGTGCTCGATCGTTTGATCTAAATTATATATTGCAAATTGTCGCGTAAGTGAAACTCTGGAAGTGAAACTCTTGGCGATTGCGCGATGTATTATTTTTAAATGAATACGTCGGATAATGTAGCGTGCGACACTGGCAATTCCTGACTTGAAGTGAGACTCGATCGATTCGCTTCGTTACAAATAATCATGTCTACGAATCAGTTTGAAACTCGATCGAATAGATCCACCGGTATGAATGTTAATTTACGAAGTATGACACAATAAATTATTAGACTTTTTCGTACGTTTATAATTACAGGCGGATTTTTATACATTTAGAAAATTTAAAAGCGTAATATGGGAAAATGTCGTGTTACAATATTTCATACGTTCTAACGTTTCTCGCGAAACTTTGATCTTTTTTAACACAAGAATTTGCATAAAAATCCGCAGCCTGCTAATTAAATAGCATCCGTTGCTGCGCCTTCTAAGATGTAAAATTACTCCTCCCGTTCGTTGAAATTAATTCTTTCGCGTTCAGTATTTCGTTAAATACAATAATCAAATACACCTCGTCGAAATTCGTTCTTACACGTAATTTCGGGATTCTAACAACGTTGGAAAGAACACGCGGCTCCATTAACGACGATCAATCGAAACGGGAATTTCGCGCAAACGGAGAAATGGGAAACTGGATTGCGAGAAGAGTTAATACGATTACCTGTCTGAACAATATTATACAACAGCGTTACATCGTACTTTCCGTAGGAAAAGTAATTACAATGCGAATAAAAAAAGAGACAGAAAAAAAAGGAATAGTTTCGCTGCAGCGTCACCAAACAGTGCGATAACGGAACTTGCGAATCGCACTCGGTAAATCGCGTTACCGTGGCCGCTCCGTAATGGTATGCAAGTCGATTTTTCTTTTCCTCTC